GAAGGAAAAACCAAAACTCAGGTGTGTTAGGAAATGTGTCTAAGGTCAGGCAAGCCAGTCACAGCAGGGCCAGGGTTCAAACCCAACCAAGAGGCTGCTCCCCACAGGTCCCTGGTTCCTAGTCCCTGGGCCTCAGTATTGGGTGGAAAGGAGAAAGGAAATCACAAGGGCTCTGCTCACTGCAGCATCTGAACCCTCATGTCAGGACCAAGGAGGTACAACACAGAGCTGGGTTCCATGAACAGGAGAGCCAGGGACCCTCCTAGTGGTCTGTTATGACAGTGAAAGGCTAGAAGCCAAGGCGACTACCACCCAGCACAGCGCTATTGTAAAAATTAATAACTCCTCAACGGATGTAAATGTTCCTGTGATGAAGGCAATTCAATGGTTAAAACTGTTACTGATTTTTGGGCTCCATTTGTCAGAGGTTTTTTTTTTAAGCCAGTTATCAAAGCACAAATGCCACCTTGTGGAGAAGTGCGGAACTGTCTGACCATCAAGAGAAGGGTGGGGGCTGCTGCTGCACGACAGCCTTGCTGCTCTGACCTGGTTCAAACTTAGAAGCAGGTGGTGGCCAGGGGCTGGGGCTGGGGGCATGCACTCACCTTGACCTGCTCATTGGAGGTGACAGCACAGAAGACAATCTCTGTGAAGCCCTGGGTGGGGAACATGCGGAAGCATATCCCACCAATGACCCGCCCATCCTTGATCAATGCCAGAGTCTTGTGCTTCCTGAGGGGAGAGGCAACAGGTCATAGCCCCCACCTGTCACCCAGATGCTCCCCACATCCCCAAAGCCCTGGAGGCCTGAGCTTTACTCAGTGCTGGGAACCAAGGAGCAAGAACTCAAAGACTGCGGGAAGAGGCTGGGGGAGGAGTGGGGAGGGCCGGCGAAGCGCCTGGGCTGGTGCCCTGGGGTTTGGGTTCTCCTGCAGACGCACGGGTCAAAGACGAGGCGGGCGATATACTCCTTGGGCATGCGCGGCAGCTGGTGGGAGAAGACATTCTGCAGCCCCACAAGCCAGAGCAACACCCGCCGGTTGGCCTTGGGCGTCAGCGAGTTGCCGATGACATGGAACTCAATGATGCCACGGCGCTCCTCCAGGCGGGCTGTCTCGTCCCGGGCCGCGTTGGCTGACAGCAGGCTTGTCTGGGTACCAGAGGAGGGGCAGTGAGCTAGGGTCTCAGGTTGGTGAGGCCCCCTCCCTACACCAGTCAGCAAGCTAGTTGCCCACCTCGGGCCCCAGCATGGCAGCAGGGTCAGTGATGGTGAGCATGACCTCGTTGACCAGCTCCATGGGGATGTCACCCATCACACGGAGCCGCTTGGCATCTTCCAGGGTCAGGTTCTCTGGGAGTTTCCTCTTCTCGCCTGCTGGGGAGAGGTTGGCAAGGTCTCCCAGGGACAGCAAGAGAGGCTGGGGGAGGGAGGGATTACTGTCAGGGGTCAAGTACCCACCTGGCATAGGCTCAGCCCCTCCGGAATCCAGACTCAAGGAGCTGTTGCTGCCCCCACCCATGGTGGGGCTGAAGATGGGAGCACTGGGAACAACTGCAGCACTGACTGTAGCTGAGAAAGACAGAGAAGTCAGGGAATAGGGGTCAAAGGCCCTGGTAGGTCCCAAAAAGGGATCAGGGCCCTCCACCCACACTTAGTCCCAATGCATTTCCCCCCCGGCTACCCTTCACAGCCACTTTTCCACAGCAGGGCTGAGCTCAGCCACAAGGGCCGAGCAGAGGCGCTGCCAGGCCTGCTGGGGCACCTACCTGTCCGGGGCACCAGCTGGGTCCCCTCTGACGGTGGCATGGTGAAGCCTGACTCCCAGATTGGAGAGTTTGCCCCATAGATCTCCTCCTCCAGCATGGACAGGAATCTGTGGGGAGGGTACAGTCTGTCCCACAACTGTCCTCCAACCAAGGGAGCGGCCTGGGCTATACACCAGAGGGATTGGAGGCAGGCCAAAGAGACAGGCCCTGCTTCAGGGAACTGGGAGCCTAAGAACAGACAGCCTCTGCCTTCAGACTAGGGGAAAGCACAGTCTCCTGCCTCCTGGGAGCCCTAGTTGAAGGCAAGAGGGCAGAAGATTCCCAGAAAGAGATCAGAGTCCGGGTCTGCCACGATGTATAGCATAGAGAGACAGGGTCTGAACCAATGCCATCCTGTGCTGTGGCCAGGCAGGGCACTAAGTCACTCTGGGCCTTGTCAAAATGGGGCTCAGAATCCACCTCCTCCTGCCACCTCTTATTCTACCTGGTGGCAAAGGAGCACTGGAGAGCCTAGATTAGTCAGTAAAGGCTTCTTCAACTGGAAAGCTACAAGCTTAAAATGAGAAGAAGGTGTGGCAAAACAGGAAAATATTACAGAAAGAACTAAAACAGGGATGGAAATCAGTTTCAGCTCAAGTGTAAGCTCTGGTTTCTTGGAGTGCTTCAGTGGGAAGGATTCTGAGGCTGTGTCCAGGCCCCGAGGGAACAATTAGTAACATCTACCAGGGGTGTGGGCAGGGGTAATGTTAGCACTTGGGCCATGTACCTGCCATCCCCAGACTAGTACACGCAAAGGCAAATGCTAGCAAGCTGCATCTGGGCCATGGGCAAGTCTGCCAGGTAGACACCCAGATCCCAGAAGGCTCATGGAGGGAGAGGAGGGACCAATCCAGGAAGCCTTCCTGGAAAAAAGGGGACAACAGGGAGGATGTGAACTTGGAGCAAAATCCTGATAGGCCAGAATGAGCCTTACTTGGGAAAGTGGGTGAGGATAAGGGTCCTCTTCTCAGGCACCAGCTTGTCCTTCTCCACCCGGAACTTCTCCAGGAGCTGCCGCCGGGTAACAGTGAAGATGGAACGGAGAAGACTTCGCCCAAAGACATGAGTGGTCTCATACCGTGGGAGACTATCGCAGCTCTGGGGCACATGGCAGTAACACAGCCATCTGCAGGGAGTGGGGAGGAGGTGTGAGAGTGGAAACCACTAACCCAGGCTGGGCCTACAAACTCCCCTGCATGCTGTCCCCAGCTGGGCCTACCTGGTATAATTGACCTTGTAGGTGGCCACATCCTCGGCCTGAGACCTCTGCCGAAATTGGGCAGGCGTTTCAAGCTTCCAGTAGTTAAGGCAGAGCAGGAACATCTTTGAGAGCTCAAACATCGTCTGCCGCTCCCGGGGAGCCAGGTGACTAAACTTGTATTGCACAAAGTTCAGCACACCCTGAGAAGGGGTGGGTGGGGAACAAAACCAGGAAGGAGGTATGAGCAGCCAGCAGAGGCTTCTTATTCAAAAATAGGTGCTTCTTGAGGACAGGGGCAAGGCTCTCCCCTTACTTTGGGATGTTCTATGAAGAGAAACTATGTCCCCTCCTCACCCCCATGCTCACCCTGAGGTTAGCAAAAACCATTCTCCCTTCTCTGAAACTCTCTCCTATTCTCAGCTTGAGGAGGATGGGAACACAAGCTCCCCACTCCTCCAAAATGCTCCCGATTCTTTTACCACCTTCCTCACCCCACCTGCTCAATATTAGGCTTCTCAAATGGGGGGCTGCCCAGGGAGCCTTCCACCACAGGCCGGGTCATCTGCAGGATGCACTTCCGCAGGAGCTAGAGAAAGAGAAAGAGGAGTAGAGGTCAGCAGGGCTCAGAACTGTGGAACCCTCAGCTTCACCTCATTCGCTCATCCACACTCACTGGGGAGACACTTACCTTGAAGAGGTAGAAATAGACCTGTTTAGTGTCTGTGTCCTCCTCCTTATGAACAGACATGAACAGATTCTCCACATCCACGACCATTCCTAGCAGCCGGTTAATCTCATCCTCTGACACGTTCTCCAGGTGGGACACATGGTCAGCTGCCAAAAGAATAGGTGGTAGAGTTGGGAAGACTGAACAGAGAGCAAAAGGGCTTCCTGCCCCTCTTCATCACCAGCCAAGATATCCCTTCCATCCCTTCAACCAGTGTGACCAGCAATGAAGCTCCTATGTCAGCCCTGGGGTGGCCCCTGGTCTCTTTCGGGATGGTAGATTTCTGTTCTCCTCCCTTGGGTCATACACCCTCCCAACTTAATCCCTCCTTAGAAGGCATCTCAGTTCCAGAGATGAAGCTTTGTGGCACTAAAGTAATCCTGTCCGAGTAGGACCAGCACCTGCAGCTGTGTCCCCCCCGAGCTCCCAGGGCACTACCTGCCTTACCCAAGGGGTGCTCACAGCTGCGGCACAACTCGCTCAGGTTGGCAGCTGGCTGCTGCAGGTCCATGCGGGGTGCAGTAGGGGGCTTGGGGTTTTTCCACCCATTACACTTGCAGGTTTCATTTGCCTGGAGGCAGAAGGATCAGTCAATAACCCTGTACTTGGGGGACCAGAAAGCCCATCCCCCCCACAGCTTTACCCCCATTCCCCACCCGAGCCCTGAGGATGCCCCAAGCCCCGCCCCCTCTAACCCAAGGCCCCGCCCCCACCTTGCAAGCCGAGAAGACCCCTAGCTTCTCAAGCTTCTTGGCTCGCGGCAGTCCCCGGACTTGCGCCTTCCTCTGGCTGGCGCGCTGCTGCTGGCTCAGGCCAGGACGAGCTGGATCCCCCCCGCTCCCGGTGCCCCCACTTCCTACCCCGGGCCCCCCCGTCCCTGTGCTCCCGACTGGGGCTGCAGCTGGGACGGGGGCTGGTGCCGGAGTGGGAACCGGAGCCGGGACCGAAGCCGGGCTGGGGGTAGGAGTCGGAGTTGGGGCAGGGGCGGGGGACTGAAGAGGACGGGGCTGCGCAGCTGGCGCCGGGGTCGAGGCCTGGGAAGATTCCGCCATGGCCTCCCCCACAGCAGAGCGCGGCGCGGCGCTCCCAACCCTAGGGCCGCATGGGCAAGCGGCGCTCAATGCGCAGGCGTCGCTGCCCCGGAGCGTGATGGGAGTTGTAGTCTCACACCGCCGTTCTCCTCGCCTCCAGCTTCCAGACTTTTCGGTCCTGTTTTCTGATCCCAGACTGCCAAGTGAGGCCCTAGCTCGCACCCCAGATTGACGCCTCTTCACTTCTAATCTCTCTTGAAGGCTTCCGGCATAGTCAAGATTGCTGCCTTCTTGGGGACAAGGAGAAGCATCCCAGAAACAAGCTTCCGTTTAGGGGAATAGTGGGCTCTGCCCACCTCCCAAGCCCGAGGGAGGAAGTGCAGGCCTGGAGCCTGGGGCTGCCTTGGCTTTCCGGCACATCTCCTCCCACCCCCGCGCCGTCCCACATATTTCTGGGCACAGAATGCAGCTACGGTGGGGACTGAGGAGCAAGTTCTGTTCCTTGACCTATGAAGTGGTTACACGAGTGCATTCTCTTTGGGATAATTAAAATGTACCCTTCTGTGCACTTTTCTGTATGTAGACTATACTTGAATAGAGTTAATATAACAGCGCTGAGCCCCAGAGGCATGGCAGTGGTCGGTCATGAACGAGGCTACTGAAGTGGGGATGAGAGCCAGAGGGCGGGCGCCTTTCCCTGTGTAGGGAATCAACTCTCTTTCCCTACACCGTGGGCACCTCAAGGGCAGGGCCCGTCTTCATCTTTGTGGTCCTAGAGCCCAGCCCTGAGCCTGTCACAGTAGCCCCAGAGTAGGATGAGTGAAGGAAACCGGGAAAATGCGTCCATCTTCCAAACCCCGTTTGTCACAGCATTGTGCGTGGTCAGAGAAAAGCAGGACATTCCAGGAAAGGATGACTCCAGTCACATTCTGATAGCGCTATTCAGAGGATAGTCCTTTTTGCCCACAGGACTGATTCTTGGAAGGGCAAGAACTTGGCTAACTCATCACCCCTCTGTGCTGGTGACTACTCCAGGGTCGGGCTTAAGCACATCTAGCTTTGTTTAGGCATCCAGTCAGTTCACAGCCCTGGGCCGCCCAGTCCCTGTAATGGAGGTGGGGAAGGGCCCCAGAAAGGGGCAAAATCCAAGATAAAAGCAGTAGCGGGCATGCCAGGGCGGCTGACAGCCTGACCCTTGCAGGTAAGACGTCCACAGCTGACCTAGAACTCTACGGGCCCTTCCTCTCCAGGCATGCGCGCCACTGCCCGAGTGCCAAGCCGAGCACCTCGCGCGGTAGGACAGCAGTTGCTCACTTGAGTCCGTAGCGGTCTCCCCGGCAAGGGCCAGGTGGCCACGATGCCAGTGCGACTGCTGAGGGATGATGTGGCCGCTGTGCAGGATGTACATGCAGTGGATGGCTTCCAGATGAAAGTGGATGCCCATGGCTTCACCCCTGATGAGCTCGTGGTGCAAGTGGACAGCCGATATCTGATGGTGACAGGCCAGCGGCAAATCGATGGCTGCAGCTACCGCGCGGCGCAGAAGGTACACCGGCAAGTACAACTACTGCCGGGCCTGGATCCTGCCGCCATGACTTACAGCTTGACTCCCTCAGGTCAGCTGTGCTTCCAAGGCCAGTGCCAGGCGCTGCATCCCCTGAAGCCCAAATAGCACCGTACCCAATAATCAGCAGCCGCGGCTCTAAGAAGCTTTCCAACCCAGTCTGACCTAGTAAGCAACCATAGTGTGCAGCAGCAGCCTTAGTATCCTGTGGTCTCTTCTCGTGGTTGGGGTCAAAGTGGATGTTTAACAAAGATAGTGGGGGGCCAAGTGAAGGGCCCAGGGAGGCAGGAAAGGCACCTCCAGGTGGTGGTCCACCAAGAATTGGGCCTCTGGCCTTGGGAGCTGGGGCAGACCCTCAGCTCAACTCATGGCCTCAATACATTGCTCCTGCCCTGGGCACCTGAGCAACAGCTCCAGCAGGGAGCAGCAGAGAGCCAAGCAGACTCTGGCTTCAGAACCAGCAGAGGGCCAGGACAGCCCAGGGAAACATGGCTTGGACCTGGTGTGGGGCTGTCTCTTGGCCTTAAGACCAGTCCTAGGTTCCAGAGGTCATTGGTGTTCCTTCCTCTTCAGGCAAGAAGGTGAGAGGACCCAGTCCCTCACAACCCTGGTACAGACTAACCAAAAACCCCCAAAGAGGTTGCTTCTGGTTTTGGAGACCAACTATTTTCAAATGCAGACTGCTCATCACCCCAATATAATCTGGAGCTGGTTGGCGAGAAGTGAATGCAAAAGTCCAACTTCAAACTCGATGAGATTCAGCAACAGGTCACCCTTACCCCACCCCATTAGAGGTGGTAATATAAGGGCTTCCTTCTCTTGGTTCCATGACTACCAGCATCCCCTTACTTTGGGACTGTGGGAAGCTTTTAACAAGATTCAATGGTTCATTTTAAATTAACTTCAAGTAATCTAGAGAGGTCGTTTGAACTCGGCCAGAGAAAAGACAAGGAAGACAAGCAGGAGGTCGATCGATCGGCTGACTATATTGACAAGATACTGATTGGTTACATGTTGAAGAAAACATACAATACAAAATACAGAAAAAGTTGGTTCCATCCCCTCCCACTCCCCTTTTACCCCCCACCCCCCCAAATACTCATCATCATGATTTGGTCAGAATAGGGCTCAGAGCCAGAGATCAGGGCGACCAAGGACAAGGGTGGAGAGGGTTGTGGGCAACGGGTTTGTGGCTGTTCACAATAATGCTGTGGTTTCTCTCCCAGCTGTGAGTCAATGGGTGAGAAGTGGGCTTCAGTCTGGTAACAGCCCACTGAGTGAAGGGCTGTCTCTCCCTTCCCTAGCCTCGGGGGCCTGCTCCACCACCCAGAACCAAGCCCACTCCACACATGGTAAGGATATGGACACTCTTTGCTGAGTCTGCTAATCAGCAAGAGTGAAAGAGGGATAACTGCTCCAACCCCAGCCTCCCCACATACAAGGGTCAGGGTAATGGGCATGTGGCTATACCCAGCAGGGAAGGGTGGGGAAGCAGTAGAAAGGGCAGGAAGTGGGAAGAACAGAAGATCATATATATTAAAAAAGTGACTTAAGACTTAAAATTGAATTAGTATTTGTACAGAAAGGTGCAGGTGGAATAACTCACTCCGGCCTATGATCAAAATTATATGGAGAAATCATGGTGGACCCCTCCTTCTGCCCCCCCAGCGGTGGCCCGAGTTGTTAAGTGCGATTGGTTAGAGTGGATTCCAGTCGGGTTGTTCAGGCAGAGGAAGTGGGGGCAGTGGGTAGGCAAGAGGGCTCAGTTGCTGCAGCACTGGCTCCGGCTGGCTGGGTTGTTTTCCTGGAGGTCCACGCCTCGGTTCCGGCCTGGAGCACCAGCTGCATTCTGGGGCTCATTCTTGGGAAGCTTCTTAGCTTTGGGAGAAGAGGAAAAAAATGTGTTTGTGGGGGTCCCTAATACTCTCTCCCCAGTCCACTTGAGTAGAATCTGGCCTGTACCACCCAATCAGTGCTAACTAACATATAAAGGGCATCGCTTCTATGTGCCAGGAGCATTCTGACTATTTCAAGAAACTGAGGCAAAAAAAGGTTAAACTGCTCTTGCCCAAGACTGCAAAGTGGTGGAATGAGGATTCAAACTCAGGCAGGATGACTCTGGAGCCAAATGAACTCACAAATCCTAAGAAGTGGGTAGGTGGACAGTGATGTAGGGTTTTAGGTGGGTGGTAAGCTAAAGGGTTAGGAAGTGATATGTTGAGACTTTGGCCCAGGTTTTAGAAACTTCTGGGGTGAACCACCTACATCTGGGAGTTATTTCATCAGAATATTATTAAAAATGGTTTTATCAGTATATTAAAAAAAGGTCTGCTGGTGAAGGGACTCCACAGACCTTGTACAGAATAGCAGGCCAGCGGTATGCCCCTGGTAGAGAGGGGTAAGGAGAGGCAGGAGAGGCAGCTTACCTATTGCCATGAAAATTTCATTCACGTTCATTGCAGTCTTTGCTGATGTCTCCATGAACAGCAAACTATTGTCGTCTGCATAGGCTTGTGCTTCCTGATTTGGATGGAGGTGAGAGAGTGGGTGGGAGGGAAATGTTGACAGATGGTGGGGGCCCAGGGTAAAAGTCTTCCCTCATCACTGTGCCTTATATACAGTAGAGACAACGCAGAGGTTTTCAGGCCTAATGCTCTCTTGCTATGGGCTCCCCAAGACACCCATACCATACCCCAAGCTCCCCTCCTCACATAAAGCACCTCTCAGCTCACAAGCATCAGCAATATTTTGCTCAGATTTCCCTATGTCCTTTCTGCCTTCTTGCTCTTCAAAATCACTAGGCTAGGGAAGAGTTTTAGAAAGTCATTCTCTATATATACTTGCACATTTGGACAAACACAAAAGTATGTGGATGCTGACTGCAGCATTGTGTTAGTCTTTTGCTATTACAAACAACCTAGAAGTCCATCATTTAGGGACTGGTAATAAATACACAGTATGTGGAGCACAATCCCATCTGTATGCAGAAAGGGGTTCACACTCAGGTGCACACTTCTGGGAAGACAAACTAAGAGGCACCTGGGGGAAGAGAGATTGAGTTTCTAGGGTTAGACTTAAATTTCATTCTACATACCTTCTTATACTGTTTAAATTGTACTTAATACTTTAATGACTTAAATACTTAAAGTATTACATGAAAATAGGTACTTTGCAGTATGTTTCATTAAGAAGTCAGTTAACAGAAAAAATAAGCAGAAGCTTTAGCTCTCCAAATGCACACCATACTGCTAACAAAAATGAAAGGAGAGGCAGACAATTCCATTAGGCCCATGCTCGAGTCTCAAGAGGATAGAAGATATAAACTCCTCTGCTGCCTCCTAACAAAGCCCCCTGCAAAGCCCCTGAGCAGCCTAGGCGAAGCTGAGCAGAGCAGGCTTATTCCTCCCCCAAGGCCTGCACATGTCCCCACCTGGAATTCCACGGCTCTCTTGCTGGCCAGGTCTGCCTTGTTACCCGCGAGTGCGATGACGATGTTGGGGCTGGCCTGCCTCTGTAACTCCTTCACCCAGTTCTTGGCGCGTGCAAACGTATCCTGGGAAGACAGGGCAAGACTATCAAATGGATGAAGGAGGCACTCTGCCCAGGCCACTCACTAAAGCTTGAACTGGCAGAGCCAAGGTGTCTTAAGATGTCACCATCCCAGAGATTCTAGTGAGATACCCCCAAACAACAGAGGAAGTCTGCCCACATCCCACCTAGGAACAGAGGGTGGAGAAGAGAAAATGTTTACTGTGTTGGTGATGTCATAGACCACGATGGCAGCTTGGGCCCCCCGATAGTACATGGGGGCCAGGCTGTGATACCGCTCCTGACCAGCTGTGTCCCAGATCTCAAACTTGACTGTTGTGTCATCCAAGCAGACAGTCTGTGTGAGGAAGGCCGCTGTAAGAGGGAAGGTGGTGTTACCAGGCAAGAAGGAACAAGCGAAGCCACCTTCACATAGCTCCACTGTCGCATATGCGCTCTGGCACTTAGGAGCTTTCTGCTGAGATGGGCCCAGAGAGCAGGCAAGAGAGGGCCCTGCGGAGCCTGTATTTCTGTGTATGTGAGGGGCTGGGGATTGCACAGATTTTATAAACCCACACTAGGCAGGGGCAGGAGGAGAAGGGAAGCCTGCTCGCACTTCAGAGCACTCTCTGAAGAGGAGTGAGCAGGGGCAGGAGGGGAAGGCCAGGGGAAACCTGGCTCCAAATCACAGAAGGGTGGGCCCACTCACTCCTCCTGTTCCTCACTCCCCTCAGAGAGAACAGTCCAGCTGGGCACCTCCAGCCCAGGGGTGTCACTCGCCTTTAGTTTCCTGAGGACACCCTCACACACTCTAGCTATGCTGGGGACGCCTGAAAGTACACGCTGTTCCACTGACAGGCGGAGGCCGGGTAGCCAGTTCCCAACCACCCCTGCCACCTCCAGGCACCCTGGCTAGCCACCACCCCCAGGTTTGACCTTGACCTACTCCTGATTGGCCACCCTCTGATATGACCCCCAGGCATGTGCTTCAGAGGAGGAGCCGCAGAACCGTGATGCGCAGGTCCAGCTCCCTGGGAGCTCCGTGCAGAAAGCCCCTGCTCCCTGTCTGCCCTTCCCCCACCTCCCCAAGGGGCCTGAGGTGCTGCCTCACTTCCCCCTCTCCAGCTCCTGACTCGAGTGCTGAGGAGGCAGCAGAAGACTGCTGACCCAGCCCGTTTTGTTTCCAGCTGCCTGGAAACCTCCTGCCAACCAAGAGGGTAGAGAAGGGATGACTCAAGCCCAAGGTCGGCCCAGGCCCCATGAGGTTTGTACTGGCTACTGAGGCAGGAGGCTGCGTTCAGACCTTTACATCCTAAATGCTGACCACTGGGAAATCAATGACGGGCTCTGAGCTGAAGAAAGGGGAAAGGTCAGCTTCAGAAATGCCAGCCCACTCACTAGGCCATTTCCCCATTCTGGAGAGTGGGAGAGGCTGGGGCAGATGCACTGCCTGGCACAGTAAGAAGGACCCTGAGCGGTCCAGACCTGGCCTCTCCCTTCTCAGAGGCCAGATCAGTGGAAGGGACTTAGCCAAGGCCACACAAAGAATAAAGTGGCAGAAGCAGGAGAGGAAGCCAGTTTTTAACTCCCAGCTAATTCTTATTAGATGCTTGTTGGGACTCTGGCATG